GATGTGTCTTAATTCAAAGATAATGACATACTCTTTTATGTCCCTATTTTATTAGAAAATACATTAGTTAAGCTCATATACATAAATTACAAAACTAAATATCAGATGTGAGTCGCCAGTCACAATCAAATAATAATTGCAGGCAAAAATTCACTTTAGTAATACGCATGCTATTTCACAGGAATGTCAGCTGGTACTGAATGACCGGAGAAACGTCAGTTCGACGCTTCACTTACGGCTGCGATAAATAAAGATTCTCTGTTACTAGAAAACAGAGAGATAGTTGGTGGATTCTTTCGTCGTGGATTATCTCCACAAAAGCCTTTAGTTAAGATTCATTTAACTCAGTCCTTTTTAGTGATAAAACAGCAGGCTTTGTTTTTTGTTATCGGAAAATAAAGTTTAACATGCAGAAACGGGTTTTATATTTAGAACTGTTTTTTAAACACTGTAATGAACAGATTAATTATGCACGTTTCCTTTTATTAATAAAAACACATAGCATTTATCATGTAACACAAAGTATCGCATGGAGATTACAGAAGTAAATGAGAAACACAATACAAAATAATGATCAGTAAATAAAGGATAAGATAACTTTTAAAGTTTCCATGGGCAGATTTGAACTTAATGTATTCTCGATTCCACGACTCCACAGTACTATCATTCATGACCTTCTTATAAAACGATTCAGGAATATTGACAAAAATGTCAGTTCCGAGTTTGGTGGCAGTCTTTGCAAGAAAAGTGGTCCCTTCTTTCTCCAAAACACCCGTATCGCATCGCACAAATGCAAAAACAACCGAAATGTTTTTAACTTTTTTTTCAGTTGTCTTTCAGTCTAGACGATTGTATTATTAGAAGAAGAAATCTATTAAGGGTCTCAAAAGATGAAGGGGAATCGGTACAAATGAGATAATTTGAAACACTTCTCTTTTGTCCAAGAGACACATTTGATAGCCAAGTTTAAACGCAAACGTTCAGCCTAAGAACCATACATTCATCTCGAATTCTAAACTAAAAGTTTTCGAATTCAACACAATTTCTGAAAACAATAAATGCGAAACTAAATTTGCCATCAGTATAACAAGAGAAATCATCTTCAATTTTATTGTTAAATTGAATAACATTAGCAGCATTTGTTTCTGAGGGATGAGGAAGAACGGATGGAGGTAAAACACAATCATAACATAGACAGGAGAGATTTCCCCTAAACTCAATACTATGGGGAATGGCAATGTCGATTAAAGGAAAACCAGAATTTGCGTAAATGGAAACATTACTCCAGGTACGATATCCAAATATGAATCGCAGAAGTATTCACATTTGAATGCGTCATAGTAGGTTGAAACTAATACCTTTCTTGTTGAATGTGTTGCGACTTAATCCACGTTCTAATTTATCACATTGCTTTGACACGTAAGTTAAATGTCGCTTCCGAGAAATTTTACAGTCAAGCCAAACACCAAAATGTTTCATTTGCTTCACCACAGTCAATGGTGTTCCATAGAAAAATAACTGATTTGCATCATAACAAACGTTTCGCCATTCATTAATCATAACTCTGGCTTCAACAGGGTTTTTAAAGCCCAAAGGACGTTAACCCATAAGTGCTATTAATTTCGTTTTGGCATTTTGAAGCGTTTCACTTTTCGAATTGTTGCCACCAAATATTATAGCCCTGTATTAAATTTAAAGAAATTAAGAAATGAAGAATCTGCATAAATGTATGTATGTTTCTCACACTGTCATAAAACAGTGGTATCTAGAGCTATCACATTCTGAATAACGTACGTCTCCACCCGAATACGAAGATCTGAAAGCACAAATTTGCAATTTATTTTATTATCTATTTCATATTTTGTAAAGTATTTATGAGGTTTTAATTAAGAAACTGAACGATTTCAAAGTGACCAATAGCAACACTGTACTGAAAAAAAAAAAAAAAAAAAAAAAAAAAAAACATTTTTATCATCAGCGCGCGAGACTGTGCATCGAAAATTCTAAAGATATGTTCTTTTTAAATTACTTTGCCATACTGCTTTTGAATTGAATTTCATGGTTTACGTGCGGAGGACATGATATTTAATAAATAAAGGTAACACACAAAACGCTAAAAAAAAACCTTTGGACTAATATAAAATCTGAATTTTTTTTTTTTTTGTACTTACGTATTAACGCAACCAGGCCAAAATTCGCATAAATCGCCAAATTTGGCGACCCTACTTACGGCAACCCTATGTGTTATACGTAGTTTTGTAAAAAGAATTATTGTAAAAAAGAAAAAATAACACTGGGCGTGGTACTACCACAGCAATGGGTTTTCGGCGGAATTTGCCCGAAAAAGAAAGAGACTTTTTTGGTTACTGTGCCACAGAAGCGCCGGTACCTCATGGAAAAAATTTGCGAAAATATCAAGGAAGGAAGCATCATTTTTCGGATTGCTGGAAAGGATCAATACAAGTGAGTTCGAAAATGCTGGATTTCTGCATGAACTGTTAATCACAGATATAACTTTGTGGATCCCAACACGGGCGTTCACACACAACATGTAGAGCGCATGTGGGGCTCAGCCAATGGCGCAACAAAAACAGAGAGGAATCCCGTCATATCTTGACTCATACCTTCGAATTTATATGGTGCCAAGCTCAAGCTGTAATGGCGAAGAGGTTTTCAATGTGCTAAAATTTCGCCGAAAAATAATTCTGCAACTTATTCAAATTCGAACCGGAATGGTTTAATTGCTATTGTTATATTTTAAACAAAATAATATAAAAAACTGTATTAAAAATTATCTGTAATTAAGAATGTACATTTTTCTTTCTTTAATACTTTTTTACTCACTTACAATTGCGCCAACCTGGTTGCGATAATACGTAAGTACCGTTTTTTTTTTTTTTTGTTGTTGTTGTTTTGTTTTGCTAATTCTAATTTTATCTCGTCATACTCCACAAAGTATACCACGGGTTTTGCATATGTTTAGTTAAAGCAGTAACAAAATCAATAAATGTATAATAGCACTGGAAATGGCAAAAATTCTTAAAGAAAAATGAATAATTGAAAATGATAAATAAATAAAAAATAAGAAAAATAAAAACTACAAGTCTTATTTGCTCATTCAAATTAATTTAATTATTCACGTAAAGCGATATTTTCCAGAATGAAAGGTAAAGTTGAATACAACAATACCTCTGTAGCAAAAAGACAAAATGTGTAAAATGGTTTTATTCAGCGGAAAACAAAAGAAATTAAAAAAAAAAATTAAAAAAACTGAAGGCTTTCAGATTTTATATTACGCCCAAAAGGAAGTTTTTTTAACGTTTTGTGTGTTACCTTTATTTATTAAATATCATGTCCTTCACACTTAAAACACATACAATTCATTTCAACAGCAATATCACAAAATACTTGGAAACAGCAAAACACCATATCTTCAGAATACAAAGGATTAAATTAATAATAAAGCAAATCCGAAATTCAAAATTCGGACTTTCAGGTGCCCATATTCGGTTGGAGGACTACTTTATTCAAAATTTAATGTCTCTAAACACGTTGTTTCTTCACAGTGCAAGAAACATTTAAGCATATTTTTCATTATTTACTTTCTTTAAGTTATAATACATTGCGGTAATATTTGGTGGTAACATTCTGAAAAGTGAATCGACGCCAAACGCCGTTTAGAAATTAATTGCCCTTCTGGGCTAACTCTTTTCAGCTAATAAAAAAAGAAATAATAAGATAAAGAGAACTCAATAATCTAAAAAATATACAGAAAGGTGGCTTCTATGTTGCCTTAATTATCTTCCTCTTCTGGATATGATGAATTCAATCAAGAAGAATATGCTTAACAACCTCATCGCTCACACAATGCTATATGCGGATCCTAATGCGGATGAGGTGGTGTGGTGTATTTAATTATGGCAAAGCACCTAGGGCTATCTGTCTAAGGGGAGGGATGCCTTCGTGGAGGATTTCTAAGGGAAACTGGCTCGTATACACGTTACACATGGGGAAAACCATGAAAACCCCCATGCAGCCGGCCCGTTCGCGGGATTCGAACCTCGGACCGAGCTATCAGCGTTCAGCGACTTTACCGCTCGGCCGTTGGTGGGCACTAATCCGGATGAGAAAGTTGAATCTTTGTATTTACTTTGGAAATTCAATCCTTAGCAGTGGAGAACGGAATGATCCATGATGAGGCGCACCAGAGCTTCTTCTCAACGGGTCAGAAACTAACAGGCGTACCCAGAGGAAAGACTAGATTGAACCCCAAAAATTCTGTTAATTTGAACCACGGAATGGGTGATTTTTTCCCGGTCTCCGCTACGCAAGCTTGCTCTTCTCTTCCGTTCGTCTGGCAGAAAAGATGATATTTGGGGTCATTTCTATCTCGCTCTCACATGACCGTAACTGGCCTTCTACACTCCTCACATTGCCTCGGTAACAGCTCCAAAAGAATTTTTTCGTCTCAAGGTATTGCCGTATGTCCAAATAAGGCAATGCGCTCGGTTCATGGCCATTGTCCTACGGCAGGGACAATATTGTTTTCTTTGAAAGGCAATCAGATCCCCGTTCTCGAAGGTTCTGCATTCATTAAATAGGGACCATACATTCTCCTCTTCCCCAAAACGAAAGTATTTAAGATCTTTCTCTTTCGTTCTTTCTTCTAGAATATTTTCACATGTTCTTTGCTTAAATTTCAAGCTGGTATAATAATTATTGTTATTTGCCAGTTCTTCCAATTAAAAATTCAAGTAAATTATATTATGAATTATGCTTAATAGTGACATAATATTTTTATAAGAAATATGACTCTGAGACACCAATGCAAATGCCCCGTAGGTGTATGATAAACATAAATATAATTTATTGAAAACATACCTTACTAGGTGACGTATTTTAGATGATCGTGTACAGTACAATATTTACATGTTATACGAAAGTGCCATACACACAAATAATGGATGCACCGCTGTATGTAATAGAATAATAAAAGTAGACATAATTCAGAACACTCTTCTTACACGTTGTATAAACATTCATTACAAGAATGTATGTAACGTCGGTATTTAAGACTTACTTTGCGTTATAGAATTATAACATATAGATACGATATAGAGCGGCGCTTTTGATTTGAAAAGTTACCGGCGCATCCTTCCATAACACCTGCTCTGCGTTTTCTGAATATGCTCCAGGTATTTAGGATGACACAGTATACGAATTATTATCATCCACCAGTAAGGCATTTTTTTAAATGATATTTTTAAATACCTGAAAATAAATAATGGAGGTTAATTTTGAAACCAAGAAACTAAATTTTATCAACTAGCATTCGAACATTTTATGATAAAACTCATTTCCTATAATTTAAAACATAGTTTTTTTATTTTTAATGCAAAAATATTAATTCATTTAAAATAATGGAATTTAAATAATAATGAATTGGTCATTTAAAATAAAGGAATTTTGCCAATTTTTATCATAAAAATATTGAAAATTATTTTTTATCTGTAAATACCGTCTCAGACACACATATATCATCAGCCACACAGCAAAATGGCGATCAATATTTAATTTCTTCGTCATGTGACCTGAATCTTTTAAAGCGGCCTAAGTTTACGGCGTACTTCATCAGAACTATCAAACATGTCTCATATAACTGACAGCTAAGTGCACGAAAGGGGGTATTTGTTTGCGGAGTCACGGAGTCTTACGGCACTTTACCACGCTAGTTGCATCTCGACTTCTGCAGAAACACCGTTATCAGACTTTGACTTAAATTGTGCTTTGGGTGAGAAGTAATTTTCAGCTCTCTTAATCAATATATGTTAGTGCCCTCTTGAAGCCCTAAATGCAGAAGTTGCTTAAATTTAAACTGCAGTAAAGGAGATAAATAGCCTAAGAAAATACTTGCTATGGGGACTGAGACTTTTATATTATTTTAGGGAATGGGATCATAATTGCTATCTCCGAAAAATACAAACAAGAAGTAAACAAAATTTAAAGAATATAAATTATTGTTTCAAATAACTGTTTTGAAAGCAGAAATAATAATTATTGACGAATATATAGAATGTATCTCCTCTAAGACGACCACTTATTTTGGAGATAAGTTTGGTTGCTTTTGCAAGTGGTCTTCATAGCGAAGCCAAAAATCCGTGATGCCGATTATAGATTAAATAAGGGATTAACTAATTCAAGGTTCTGAGGGTTTACTAAACAGAAATATTGCAGTTAGTTATGCTGGTTCATTAATGCAGTTATATTAATAAAATTAAAATTAAATTAGACAGACCAGATACAAGTAAGTAGCAAATACACCTATAAGTAAATGAATAAATAAAGAGAAAAATGTACTATATCCAGGGTTTTGTTGTGTAAATATATTTTTACATATATAATATTTTAATTATATAATAATTTAAAATACGGAAAAAAAGTTATATTGAACTAAATCTTTAGATTCCGAATTTTGTTTAGTAATTTCGAAAACACACAGTATATATTCAAATTACACTTAAAGAGTGTGGATTAGCGGGAATTTGTTAATGCTAAAACTGCCTGGATAATCCATCTCTAGTTGATTGAATCAAAAGTGTTAAATTTATTTATTGCGAAACATTGGTACAATTAGTATCTCGAATCATTAGCGGAAAACAAAATTGCCCACGAAAAATACAAAGCGCTAAATGCGTCGATTAACAGAAATGATGGCAAATAATGATGTAGTATTAAGGAATTCTTTTTCATTATATGTTATTTAATTGGACATAATATTGAATATACAAATATAATAAAAGAGTATACAGGATGTTTATAATTAAAGTGACCTCATTCAGATCTACGTGTAGAGCCCACTGGTTGACATTTTTTTTAACTTTGTGTATAGGTTGTATAAATAACGAGGATAATGAAAATGTAGTACAAACTGTAGTCCCTTAAACAGACCTCCTTCTCTTTCCGTGTAATGCCTAATGGTGAAGCACGTAATAAAAAATTAGCAGTACAAATTTTTAGATAGCGCTTTTCATGCAGTGTAAAAAGGACGTAATGCAAATTAGAAACTCTTTAAAATGTTAGTAGTCAGGGGCGTAAAATCAGTTTTCATATTATCTTTAGAGAAAAATAATTTTTCCCTAACTTTTTTTTTTTTTTTAATTTTTAGTGGCACTGCAAGAATATTCACGTTTAAAAGGCTTGCGAAAGGAACCCAGATTAAAGAATATTTTGAAAAATATGTTTATTAAATTTTAGAAGAAATTTGATGCTTAACTTGTGGCGCTTCTAGACAGAGGGCGAAAGCATATTTCAAATAAAACTTTGGAAGTCGATGTTGCTGTATTCGGCAGAGTATTGTGTTTCAATATAAGTCAACAATTCTTCGCGTGTTGTTATCGCTTGATCTAAACTTTGAAGATTCTGAGGTTTCTTTTCACGGGACATCCTTTCGCAATCTGCATGGTGTAAAAGCAGGTGAAGTGTTATGCCTAACTAGCCTTTGCATTATCATTACATGGCTGTATTGTATTTATTGCTGATTTTATTCTTGGATTCTTTTTTAAGACTCTAAAAGGTATATCCGTCAAGAGTACCCTTTACTCCAAATTTTTGTAGCAGCATGTTATTCCTCCTTTGCAAGCAAGAGAATGTTTAGAGATATGCGACATGAGGGGAAACCTCTTATTTACCAGAAAGTGAAAGAACGGCTTGGTGCTCACAATGGAGATGATCTAGAAAATTTTAAAAATGTATCCATATGCATTTTCTTTCAAATTGGGAGCAGAATCGGAAAAATGCAGGTATACGAATACCAGAGTAAAAGCCCTGTGATTGAGTTATAAAAACTCGCCCCAGGAAATCTAGGCTGCTACAGTTACATTTTCGTAACAGCCAAAAGTTTAAAGTTATAAAATATATTTTGGACTTTTCCTACTCGGCTTTGTTACCTGTTCAGCTAAGCTGTCAAATTTTAAGAGTTGCCCAAACTGGAGACTTTTAATTTAAGTATGTAATGCGTTTTTTTTAGATTCAGTTTCATCCCTTAAACAGCTCTCATCCAAATGACCTTTCTAGTTATCAGTTATTAATATAAGCCAGTACTTAACTATGTTTTGATTTGTTACAATGAGAATTATTGTTCTGAGATATTTCAGGTTTTTAAGTAATGATAGAAACATCCAAACGACAGAATTTACACGACATATTCAATACCGATCTTTCACAGCACAGTTTACAAAATCATTAAAATTTTAAGAATGCGGTTATAATTTATATAATATAATATTAAGACGATGTTCCAACATTGTGCTCTCAGTGTTTTTGAAAGCATATGTATAATACTCGTCTAGAAGTACATAATAGTAAAAAAATAGCAGTACTTACCTATTAATGCAACCACCTTGGCGCAATTTGGCAATTTTTTGCAGATGAAAATGTAGAAGTTACTTATTGGATGCAATTGGGTGGTTAATGCACCTTTCCTTAGAACTGGTAATTTAAAATAAGTCGGTAAACATTATCAGCATATCAAAAGAAAATATACTTTAGCAGATTAAAATACAAGTTTTAAATGTTAAATAGGGATTACATGATGCATTAAAAATCGCTTACGTTGTTAGAACTGCGAAGACTCGGCTTCCTGCAAACCTCGATACCAGTGGCTGTCTAGAAACCAGTTTCCTCGTTGTTCGCTTTAGAACCATTCCAGCAAAATTCTATATTCTTGCAGAAATTTTACCGCCGCTTCTTCCATTGCTGGCAAATTTCGCAAGCTCATACTTTAAAACTAAGACAAAAAAAAAAAAAATACGATGATTTGTTTATAAAAAACCTCTGGAAATTACAATACATCCAAAACGAGTGCATACGAAAGAAATATCGGCATAGCTTGACTGAACGATTGTTATGAGCATGGTTGCCTAAATAATGGTCACGCGTATTGTTTGCCACAGTTTGGCCCATTCTGAAAATTTTTCGACTTCTATAAAAGTGGTTGCGTTAATACGTAGATACTAAAATAGTTGCTAATATTCTATAATAGTCAGAAAATGTAGTAACAAACGAGATTTTAACCGCCAACGGCTGATGTTCTGACGAATATTATTAGAAATGGCGAAGTTTTTGATGAAATTTTAAAATTTCATGAAATCTGTAAAATAACTTTGCAACTTTAGTTATAGTAGATTCTTGTGTTTTGATCGTTTTTATTCACATTCATTAAGAAATTAATTTTAAGTACTTTTCTGTAGACTTTAAGTACTTTTTTTCTTTTTCTGTCGCCAAATGGGTTCCAAAGCCGCAACTATGGGAGCCTCATGATATAGTGTCATAAATATCTGCGTAATATTTATAGAGTACTGTTACAAAATTTGTGTACATAGATAGAGTTATTGCCCTCTCCCTGTAAAAACAGAGATCTATTTTCGCTTAAAAATGTCAGAAAACTGAACAAATTCCGCATTGCGCATAGCTTAGTCACTGTGCTCAAGGAGTACAATAAATCATTTTTATTATTCTAATGAAGTTTTACATATCGTTAGTGTTGCCACATTTGTACGGTTTTCAAGCTAACGTTTACGTTTGGAGCTAAGTTCATCACTGTTAACAGAAAAATACCATTTTAATAGCATTATGTTCATTTAAATTTGGTAAAATATTTTTATTTCATTATGCGTTGTTGTATTTTCAATACATTCAATGCTTTACCTTAAATATTTAATCAGTTTTTGAACAAAATTACAATCTGCAGTATTTGCACTAAAACCGAGTTTAAGGAATAATGCGTTTGATTCTACTCTTTCAAAACTGGTAAAACTTCCCTTTAGTAAGACAAAAGTGTCTCTGATAAAAATTCCTGCTGGTATATCAAAAATAAAAAGTAAATAGAAATACAATTTTTACTCACCAATGGCAATAAAATTCTTTACGTTTTATCCGTATCACCTTGCATGTGTTTGTTAAATATAAGTTGCTGCCGTTTTTAATGCATATGTTTTTGTAAGCTACAAATAACAATAAAACTATTTTAATTATCGATCCCCTTGATTGGCGAATACTAAAATTGTTATGGTGCTAGAGTCACGGCACCAAAAATGTTATGATGTTTTTTTTTTTTTTTTTTTTTTTTTTTTATGAATTTTTTTCTTTCTTTTCTAAATTTTCCTTCTTTACCAAAGGTATCCTACGATTGAACATAACACCAGAATACTCTTACCACAGAAAAATACTAGTAACAATAAAGTTGAAAATTTTGCGTTGTGTTTATTCCGGTTAACCTTAAAATCATTTGAGTAAAGACTGGTAAAAATCATGAACACACAAAATAAATTTAACCATTGAATGATCTAGAAAAACTTATTTATTTAACTATTAATGCAAATTTATATATATCCATTAGTAAAAAAAAATAAAAATATTCAACAAAATTTGTACTATTGTTTTACACATCCAACATTTCTGAGTAATTATTTTTTTTAACATCCTTGAATACTATTAAATTAATATTGCAAATCTGGTAAAACATACCAAAATAAACTTAAATTTAAGAACAACTACCCTCCCCGAGGAGAAAAATAATAAAAAAAAAAAATTTAAACAAGTTACACTTTCCACTTCACACAGAATTCATCAATACAAAAAAAAATATTGCTTAATATTGCACTCAATACCATCATTTAAATATATATTGTGCACATAATAATTTTTATTATTTAATTTTTTTTTTTTTTAATTAAATATGGTTTAACCGGATAAAGATAAGTACTGACACATTTACATTCTACAAACAAGTTCGTCCTGAGAGAAGCAAGAATGCTCTAATACAAGCACGATTACAAATCTCCTCACCAATGAGTAATTCAAAAAAAAATTCAATTAAATAATTTCCTGAAGAAACTTAATTTTCGTACCATTAAGTTAAGTTACAATAATTTAATAAGGTTAAAATCTTATTCAATTTAAGCTTTTACTTGATTGATACACACCAAAAAAATGATTTCTATAGAGTTAGGATAAAGTTATCAACTGCAAAAAATTTAGGGTTCAACAATTAAGTTAATTCAATCATTTTACTGCAGAAATCTATAATACTTAACCAACCAAGAATTAAACAAAAAAGAAAGGAGAATTTATCTGTAATTGAGTAGCAGGCAAGACAACCTAAAAAAATGTCCATTGAAGCTCATGAGGAATGCTGCTGCTGTTGAATGGAAAAAAAAAATGTTCGTCGGATGTATGGAGTCATTACGGTAACCTAGAATTTCTGGTTAAGAAATTCTAGTTTTTAAATTATTGTAACAGTTCCGGATGTGGAGATACGAGGAGAATTATGATGAACTACTGAGGATCAAAAACGGCCAAATCAGTGAATCAGTCCGGGATTGGAGATACGAGGAGATGAATTTTAAACAACATCTTCAGCAAATGAATCAATTCTAACAGGTTCCAAAAGCAACGGTTTGTAAATTAACGCTCCATTCGAGTATAGCGACAATCAATGGTGAGCTGGGAACGCATCATTTTCTAGAAATTTACTTCTGTATATTTTCTTGAGATACACAAACACACACAACAAAAAAACTGATGAAAGATTTCGATTTTTTTTGAAGACATAGATGCCCATACTACGGCCCAGCGCTCAAAGCGCTTAGCCAAGAGGCCCGTAGGTCTATAGGGGCGAAGCTCCATTTTCTTCGTCGGAGGTCAGCTGTCGCCTCCGGCCATCAGAAAGCGTCAAAGGGCAAAAGAAGTTCAAAAAGTCACCTCGTCCACAAAACAAACCCGTTAAAAGGGAGGACGCCGGACTGCCAAGTTGGCACAACCCACTCTTCGCCGAAAGTTAAAATAGTTTGCAACAACAGCATACCCTCATGTTTATCAAACTCGCCAAATCCACTACTTTGAAACCTCAACGGAAAATCTATGTCGCCAAACCCTCGCCAAAAACAACCACCTGTGACAGGGGGAAATTAGGAATTTCAACAACCCTGCAAGGGTCCCCAACGAAAGAACGCTGAAAACTCGCAAAAAGTGACTTTTCAACCGGAAAGAAGGCATTTCATCCCCTTTAAACTAAATCACAAGCAAACGAAGAAAAATCTACTAATTAAAGCTCATAACTGAAATGCAATTAAAGTTAGAAAAACGAAAGTTATGCCAAATTAAAGAGCTAATTTTTCTGCAACTAATGATATTAAATACTAAGAAATCAAATTAATTTTTGACATGAAAAAACTGAGTTTATTACGTGAAAAAAAATACTTATCCATTGTTTGCGTGTACAAGATTGAAGACGCAGTTCGCGTAAACTCGGAAAGCCAAAATATATTACACTAGAATTAATAGGCCCAAAAAGAATATAACCAAACTTGTGTAGCTCAAATTTTGAATAATTACAAATTAAAATTTTGATTTTTATTAATTCACTTAAATTAAATTCGCTACACAACATTTTCCTCCTATGATCGGGAAAAATTTTTTTAGCGAAGCCAAAAAAAATTTTAGGGCCCACAGGCAATGGAAAAGGTTTACATAAGTTACTAAATACAAAGAAAAAAAATCAAAGTACATAATGGTACCACATGTTAATCACAAAGAAGGATACATATACCTATTACAATTAATCCTACCATGAGTTATGGTTAGCAAATATAAATCCTACCAATCAATGGTTAGCAAATCCAAAGTTCTACCATAATTGTATGGTTAGCAAATCCAAATCCTACCATAATTGTATGGTTAGCAAATCCAAATCCTACCATAATTGTATGGTTAGCAAGATCCATTAGTGAACCGAGTAAGAGGGTCAAGAAGTGTCCTGGCACACAACAAGCATACATCAAAACAAAAATAAAAATGTTGTCAAACAAACACGTGACACGCCCTAAAATAAAATGTGAAAAGTAAATGTAAAATCACGAAACCCCCAAAGGCAAATCAAGTGAAAAGTGTGTAAAACAAATATGTGTAAATAAACAAACACCACTGAGTATACGAGTGTTCAAAAGCAAAACAATTGAAGAGCTAACTGGCGCTTGACACACAACAAAAATGTAAACAAACTAAGTTCCTTGCAATCACCAATTGAAGTGACACTATCAAACTCAAAAGTAACGCTTGAAGGAAAAATGTCTACTGTATAAATCCTAAATTTTCCCTAACACACAGAATTTTCACTTCCCTAAGAACTGACACCCCACCAATAACGAGAGGGCAAACGAGTAAACACCGCAAACTGTACAAGCGCAAACTAAACTACTAATAAATCCCTGGCAAAAGAAATTGAAGTGAGTTGCACCATTATGAACAGAAGACAATCACCATGAAGTGTTGGCAAGAGAACTACCCAGTCAAAATTCTATCCGAAACAAATCCCGACTACCATGGCTAAGGGATTCCCAGAGGAAAAAAAATTGAACTTAAGGAAGTGGAGATAAAACGCGAGGACTAGTCTTGCAAAACCTCCAAAAAAAAAAAAATACAAGCTATTGAGACCAGAAAGTTCCAAACCAAGACAACTTGATCACTACTTCACATGCCAAAACATGTAAAATCCAAATGCAACACTCGACCAAAGATAAGCCAAGAAGACTACAACAACTATACTAATTGATTATAAAATTTAGCTACAAGAATACAATTACCAGAACAAATAATAATTTAACCAAAATTGTATACAAAACACACTATTCTCAAAATATTTCATTTCACTTTTTCGACACAAAACCATGTGTATCTCTAGGCCTTAGATGGT